CACAAGTTGCCTTCGGGAAGTGAGGGAAGCCGAATGTCAGCTTGCGAAGCATTCCTGACCTGCTCTTGAGTTTCCATAGGCAGGGGGATGGGGAACCGAGCCTCATAGCTGCAGCAAGGGAATTGTAATTCAGTCAAAACAAAAGCACATTCCAGCCATCTCTATGTCAAGGCCATCTCCACAGAGACCCACAGTGGTCAGAGGGACTTCTAGAACCTGTGAAATTGCTTTGTTGGGGAATGTGACTGATGACACAGCTTGGGGGGGGAAGAGGGAACAGGGTCAGAGCTGGGGTGTGAATTAAGTGAGGTCAGAATTGGCTTCACTTGGAACGTGCTGACATGAAGCTCCTAATAAATAACTGGATTTCTTTTGAAGCTTGGCTCGAGGCTAATTATTTAATTAGGGCATCGGTCAGAACCCTGACAGCCTTGCCGTTGCCGTGCAAACCCAAGCAAAGGCAACAACAGCTGCGCCTTCTCCCTTCCAAAACATGCCAGGATGTTATCTGAATGAGACCTGGCTTGACCTATTGTTTTTTTTTTTTTTTAAATTTGATTTATATGTCGCCCTTCTCCGGAGACTCAGGGTGGCTTACAATGCATTAAGCAATTGTTGAAACGCCTCCTGGCTCTTTCCCAAAGGGAGGGTGGATCTTCTTTGCATTTCATCACCTTCTGCAGTGCAAGGGGCAGTGGGCGAGTCCCACTTTTTGTTTTCAATGCGCACGCCACTTGCTTGTAGCAACCGGAACTGCTGCAGTGGCACCAGGCAGAGGCTTGCTTCTCCCCTTGCTCTTTCCTCCTTTTCTTCAGCCCAGCCTAGCCCTCCATCTAGCAGCTAAATATGAGGGGCTCGCCCACTTCTCCATGAGGCCTCTCAGGAGACATGGTGTGCAAATCAAAACAAAGCAGTGTGAGTCTGGGCATCCTTTCTCTTTGTTCTCCACTCCTCTCTCTCGCCCTCTCTCCTTCCCTGGGAACTGTGGGGGGGGGAGGGGAAAGCAATTAAGGGGACACTGGCAAGATATTTCCAGGGAAAGGATGAAGTGGCCCTGCTGCTCTAAGCTCAGAATTTTAAGGCAGAAAAGTGAAGGAGGGGCAATTTCAAAGGCCCTAGAGAGAAAGAGCAAAGCTCTTCTGTTAGCTGTCCGAAGCAAGTGCCAAGGCCAACCCTGCGGGAAGCGATCTGCTTCTCCATGCAAAACCTCATGGGGTCTGCAGAACTATAGGGAAAGGGGAGCCTGTCCTTCCTCACCCAGCTCCAGGTGACCTATTTTTCCCTGAGTTTAGCATCCTTCCATACAAAGGAGGAACACAATGCTGGTTAGAGAAGTGGTAGAAAAGGGGACTGCCATTTTGATAAAAGAGATGTGGGACAATGCAGGTTGGTGACAAAGCTGCATGGTGAAAGGAAGGAAGGAAGGGAGAGAGAGCGAGACAGTGATCCAATCAAACCTGTGTGTGTGTATTTGAGAGAGAGCATACTGCCTCCAGCCCTGGTATATGGTAACTCTCCGAGGTTGGATCGGATCTTGATCTCTCTCACATGCACACATGTGCACACAAAGAGGTTTGATTAGATTGGCCTCGGCCTCTGCCTGCTGCTGGTGCCATCCAAGCATGTTTTGGAAGGGAGATAAAAATAAATCCTGCAGTCTCTCACTGCCGCCATGCAAAGCCTGGCACAGGCAACAGCAGCTGTGCCTTCTCCCTTCCAAAACATGCCAGGATGTAATCTGAGTAACCCCGGCGGTGGTGAAACACTTCCCAAAAGGGGGGCAACAAATGGGAAGGTGGCCTGGACTAGCAATGCTTTGTTTTGATTCAGGCGCTGCTGCTGACATAGAAGGAGCGGCTTTTACACTTTACTTTTTGTATACCACGTCTCCTGGGAGATCTCATGGAGAGATGTCCTTAGCAATGTGGCTTCTCCCCCCATGTTTCTCCTCTGCTTCAGCCCAGCCTAGCCCCTCATCACCCTCCAAGCAGGGAGGCCAGATTCAAAGGAGATGGGAGGGCCGGGACAAATCTGAAAGAAACAGACCCTTTCTTCTGTGCCGGGTTCCTATGAGCAAGCCCGGGGAGCAGCCGGTGAAGAGGCAGCCCTCGAGTGACTGCTCTCCCTTTCCTCCCTTCTCCTTCCTTCTGAGGTGAGAATTGAAAAGCCCCATTATTTCCAGCCACCATCCAACTGCCTGTCTTTGCTTACGGAATGTGCAGTGGAGCTGGAGGACCTGGTTGGACAGCAGGGGCCAAGTGTGCAGGGGCCGCAGCATAGTGCCACCATCTCTGTGAAGTGAGGGAAGGCAAGTGCCTTCCCTCACTTCACGGAGGCACCAGCAACAGGCAGAGGTCCAGGGCTGGGTGGAGAAGGCATGCAATCAGGCCCACCAGACGTGCCATGAGGCTGCCTGTTCATCGCAGCTGCGGGCAAGCAAAGATGGACAGAGTGAGCTGGGGGGCACACGCTGTGTCCAGGGGACCAGATCACATGCCTCCCCCACCCCTCTGCCAGTTCCACTGCTATGAGGAAAGTGGTGGGACGGGGGTGCCACCACAGTATAGTCTCTGCATTCTCGGCCCCACCATTCAGCCTGGTCTTCCAGCTCCACTACAAGCAAAGATGGTGGGACGGACCCCATGTCTTTCCCTGCCCCTGCGCAGGCTGCAGCTGCGTCCAGGCACTGTCTGGCCCCGCACAAAGGTTCGCCACCTTCTATGCTGGCCACTCCCTCCGTTCCACCTCTGCTGATAATGCTCTGAACTAGGGCTTATTTTTGAGGTAGGGCTTATATTGTGAGCAGCATTAAAAAATTCATGCTGGATCTTATTTCTAGGGTAGGTCATATTTTAGGGAAAACACGGTACTTGTTGAGTTTGGTTTGTCAACCAGTTACAAATTCATCTGATGGTGATGCTATCTATCCCACTTTTTTCTAGCTTACCAAGAAGTAAGTTGTCTACCTTGTCAAATGCCTTGCTAAAGTCTAAGTATACTATGTCCGCAGCTTTTCGCTAGTCTACTAATTTAGTCATAATGTCAAAGAATTAAATAAGATTGGTTTGGCATGTTCTGTTTTTAACAAACCCATGCTGACTTCTAGTTATTAATTTATTCGTTTCTAGATATTGGCAGATTTGTTTTTTGATTATCTTTTCCAGTATCTTCCCAGGTATTGATGTTAGGCTGATTGGTCTGTAGCTTTCTGGGTCTGGTTTTTTTTTTTCTTTTTTTGAAGATGGGAACTACATAAGCTCTTTTGTTCTGCTTTTTCTTTTTGCAAATAGCTTTGAGAATTGAGTTGAATTAAAAAGCAGACTAGAAATGTAAAAACAAGTAAAGAGACAGGTATGAAGAAATAACAGCTAAATTATTTCTGAAATTTATTAACCCTTATGGCCAGTCTGATTCATATAAATAGTTTGAGTCAGTGATGCATATGTTCATCAGAAGACATTCCACCTAACTCAGAGCCCAAAGATACATCAACCTGAAGAACAACAGCCATTTTATCAGGCATGAGGAGAGAAGAGAATAAACCGGAAGCAATACAATAGCTTCAGCCTGCTGAGGAATCAACTCAATCAGACTCTCCCCATTCTTGAACATTATTTAAGTATTAAACTTTTAGAACTGGTGAAACTTTGGAGAATGTTTCCTCTTCCCTCCTTATCCCTTTGTCTTTTTATATGATTTCTTTCAGAGTTAGATGTGTAAAGGAGTGTAGAGCTGGTCCTGGGGGTAGGGACAGAATGAGCCAGCAGTTAAAAGGGGGGAAGAGGGGGGGGGGAAAGGAGTTACGAAAAGATTATTAAGTCCTGAGAAAATGAGAAAGAAATTCAGTAAAACGTGACAGAGAGAAATTTGGATGCTGGAAAGAACTGATGAGAGACAGACTTGAGGTCTACAATATTTCAAGTCTATAGGCTGCTCCCCTCTGGCATCAGGCTTCCAAACTATCAGTTAACACAGCCATAAGAAGGTTAATTCAAGAATTACTCCTTTGGTAATGGTAATGGTAATCATATGTAAAATGATAACACTAATTTATCCTTGGCTTTCAAAAAGATGATGTCAACATGTCTAGCCACCATTTCAGCTGATTATCTAAACTTGGTATCTTATAAGTGCAGAAATAGGCAAACTGGTGCCTGCCAGGCTCTCTGTTCCACCTGATTTTAATTTAAATATAGACAGATGGATAAGTAGGAAGCTGACCCGCTTCAAAGCAAAGGGCAGCTTAGAGCGCCCTCTCCATTTATAAGAATGCTTCTCACGCTGGCAATGTGCTCATCTACCCTGAAGAAAGACCAAATAAGATGGAATGGTGATCATGATGATGCCAAAAGGATGAAGCATTATGTCATAATAGAAGTTTCACCTATCTGTACACATCGCAACATCACACGCAAGCCATGTAAGGGACAGAACTCAATTTGTGATTATTTTGGTACTCTCCCCTGCCCCCTTCTCCAACTGGTTGAGGCCTATCATTAGAGATAAGGATGGAGAGCCAGGTCACCTATTTTGCTAGGAAAGTGCTTGGTGATTGCTCAATCTGCATTTTGTGAACATGTAAGATTCTCTGAAGAAGAATCTGAAGGGGTCATTTTGTAACATGCAAATGGGGTGGGCATCCAAAAAGGTTACTTAGGAAGAAGAAACTCAACACCTGTGTTAACATGTAACAATTTTAAAGACGATCAAATAGTCTTCCCTATTTTGCTTCTGCTGAAGAAAGAATTTACTGCTTGGTGTTGTTTTTCTCTGTTTGTCATACGTTAGTTTTTCTCAATTTTAATGTGCCCAGATATTCACTGGGATAGTGTGGACTGCAAATAATAAATACAGAAGTATATAACATTAAATGGATACCTCAATCAAAATAATTCAAATAACTAACTATGGATCTTCCGACAGAATTTTTAATAGTCCTTAAAATATAGTTTACTAAGCCATTACTAAGAATGTGTCCTTCATAAACCAGTGTAACTCACCACAGATGGCCCAATCTCTTGTTAACCTTTACCATTTCAGCAAAACTCTCAGCTGCTTCATCATCCAACTCATTTTTTGTTAGCCTAGTCAAGAACACAAAAAGGTTTCAGTCATGTAAATGAATGGTAGTAGAGCAGTTAAAAACATTGTCATTCTTGTTTTTGTTGCTAATTTTGATGCAGTATTATCAAAAACCCTGGCAAGCCAGAATGTATTTAAAGAAAACTCTTTTCAATCCAATCTGTCTGCCTGCCAAGCACTATACAATTTCTATTGTGCATAACTGCATTACATTATAGCCTCTGGGGGCATAACTAGATGACAGTTTTATTTCGTTCACCATTTGGTTGAGAAAGTAAGAGGTCACTCAGACTAGAGAACCAACCCACTCCTTATTCAAAGTCATTTCTATGTGTCCTGAAAACGTTTTGGTTTTGTCACTGTTGTTATTATATACAGCTATGTAAATAATACAAAGAAGTTTAGGAAAATGCCTGGGGTATAAATGGGAATGAAAGGGTCTGAGAACTTCTAGTAAACATCAGGAAGTCCAGTTAGATTTTCTTCAATTACCCTGTAGATCAGGGGTGGTTTTCACTTATCTTTGCTATCAGTTCGCTCGCGCGCCACTTCTGCACATGTGCAGATCGTATTTGATGACGTCCAGGTGGGTGGGTGGAGCCTCCTGTCGCCGCTACCGGTTCGCCCGAACTGGGATGAACCAGTAGCAACCCACCACTGCTGTAGATGTGATGTGGCATTCCCAGTATTTTTTTCCCCAGAAATTCCAGAAAAGCATTACAAATACAGTATAACTGAGGGTCTTATTAGCAGTCCAAAACCATGATCCTATTTCTGTCCATAGACAGAAAAAAGAAAAACTTCTAAATGCACATTCCACTTTCAATTATTCATGGGATGTGAAAATCGAGAATATATAAGACCAATAACAAAAAAATTGCACTATATTTTCACCTCAAAAACAATCCTCCCTTGAAGTTCTAGCCAGTTGACCATCCTGACCTACAACAGGACTCTCTTTTGCCTCTCCTCATGATTCTGCTCTTGCTTTCATTTCTGATGGACCCTCAATACATTATTATTGACACATTATTCAGATGAATTAGTAACATTATCTATGTACTCACCTACAACACCTAATGATTGCAGCTGTACCAAGGAAAAATATATTCTGTCCCAGTTCTATTCATTTCTTGTTCATATTGTTCAAACCAATAGCACTGTAGCCATTGTTCTCCAGAGTTTTGCAACAGATTCTGGGCACCATTTAGGATATCTTTAAATGCCATCTGCCCCTTTTGTTAGTGCCAAGACTGGCTGTTCTAGAAATAACTCTTGTTTATTGTACTGGTCACAAACAGCTATGCATTGTTAGAACTCCAACAGAATAAAAGTGAGGAATGGTCTGTTTTTTATTTAATTACTAAGGCATATCAGACTTAAGTGTTTCATACTTCTGCTCCCCAGATGAGAAGAGTATCATAAGCAGAACCAATGTGCCAACCTCATCCTTTCCAAACAAACCACAGTATAACTACCAGTAATCTCAGACAATTCCAACTTGAAGAATTTTCAATCCTACCACAATACTATAATCCAATACCAACTATGGTCTTCCAATATATGCAGCATCTCAAGAATATAGTACAGTACAGTATGATATAGTAGAAGACAGTACATCAGATTGTTTCCACCACCTATCAACAAAAGTTAATGGGTCTTATATTGAAATAGGCAAGAAAACCTTATGGATCATAACTCCGAGTTTGCTGTTGGTCGTACTGGCTCAAGACTGATCTGAGCGAAAACATTTACCGGTAGCAATCAGAAATTGTTCTCTTTCGGTTTGGGTGCACAACTGAAATCATTTGGCATAATAAAAAGTATCAATTCTTTTAAGATATTTTATACTAACTGCTTCAATGATACCTTTTGGAGAGGATGCTTCTTTCTGCCCCAAGTTCCTTGTTACTAGGAATGGATTTTTTAAAGGAAAGAATCCTGTTTTCTTTATTGTCATTTTTAAAGATCCCATCAACTTTTACTTCATGCATATTTGCTTGTTTTGACAAGCCTGAGTATAGTTTCCTTCTCAGCTGGTAGTGTCTTCCGCTTTTTCGTACAATGACTTTTCTCTCTCTTTGAATTCCAGGTTTGTGAAGAAACGTTTTTATTTCAAGATTTGGGAATACTGGTTCAACTCTTACAGTACCCATTGTTCTACTCTCTTCAAACTGGGAAACCTTAGCTTATCCCTTCTAAATGACAACATTATCATGCAATTCTGAGAGTGCCTATATTGTGTGTTACAACAGAAGGTCTGAAATCAGGAACTCCTATTTCATGGCCACTTTGGGTAGGAATTAAGGTGCTGACCTACAAACCAGGACACTGTGAGTTCTAGACCTGTCTCAGGCATGAAAACCATCTGACAGAGTGATTTGGGACCAGTCATTCTTTCTCACCCCAACCCACCTGACTCGGTGGTTGTTGTGGGAAAAATAGGAGGAGAAAGGGATATTAGGTATATTCACTGCCTTGAGTTGTGTGTAAAAGTAATAAAGGCATGATTAAAAAATCTAATAAAAAATAAATGACTGTTTTGAACTACATAAAAGCCTATATAAAAATAGGGAAGCATGCTTTTTATAAAAAGCATCTCCCTATGATGCTTTGGCCCACAGTTCCCCTTTCTTCTCCTTCTTTGTTGATAGTGAAAATAAATTGGACAGTTTACTTTTTCCACATGAATGCCTCCAAACTCCTTTTGATAGCGGTTTTAAAACATGCTTTGGGGATACAGTCAGTAGTACTGTTAGCTTATACATCTATCTAGCTTAGTGGGAACTCAGCTTTTCCAGTTCTTTCTGGAATCAAACATACCAGAAAGACATTTGACAATGCTGTGATTTTTAACCTCCCTCCCAGGGATGAAATGCTACCGGTTCGGGGCGGATCGCCCAAACCAGTAGTAAAAATGCTACTGGTTCGCCCGAACCGGTAGTAAAAAAAATGCTTTAAAAAGTAAAAAAAAAGTTCCGACAAACGCTGATTGTCTGAACATTTTTTAAAACTTTTTTAAAGCATTTTTTTACTACTGGTTCTGGCAATAGGTAGTAAAAAAATGCTAAAAAAAAGTTTAAAATGGTTCCAATAATCAGCTATGACAATCAGCTGTGCCGCACAATCTTTGGACTTTAAAAAAAAACCTTTTAAAGCATTTTTTACTACCTACTACCTGAACCGGTATTTTTGTGTAAAGTGTGATAGTTTGTTTTTGAGCTCTCTGTGACTCTGTGAGGTTCCTGCTTGTTGCAGGGGCCATTTTGTGTGAAGTCCAGCTGCTTTTGCATTGTGTGAGTCAGTTGTGTAGCTTTTGTGTTATTTTTCTGTAAAGTGTGATAGTTGGTTTTCCCGGTGACATGGCCAAGCCATGCCCACCCAGTCACATGACCACCAAGCCATGCCCACCAAGCCACGCCCACAGAACTGATAGGGAAAATTTTTGAATTTACCACTGCTCCCTCCCCAGAAGGTTAGGATCCTATGAAGCAGATTTCTTCTGCCACTTTTGCAAAAAGAGGATGTTCAAAACTCTGTAAAATTAATCCCCATCTTCTCCAAGTTCCTTACCAAAATATATTTACACCATTGTTGTGTTTCATCGCTTCTGCGAGGCTTTTACCTCCTTCTGTAGTGATGCTGTTAAAGGCAAGACTGTGAAGCAAACGATGGAGAAAGAGTTTTAAAAATCCAGAAAGTAGTACCACCCAAGCAGCAATAACTATTTTGATTAGGATTTAAATCATACTTTTACCAAATTAATTAACTGTAAAATTCTGCAGATGCTTTCTTAGGGAGTTACAGGTATCTTACAGAAGAAAAAATTGAAAAGATTTCCTAAGTTCTATCTGAACTGCAAATAGATCCTGGTAGCAATTAATTAGCTGTTGGCAGAACACATAATTAGCTGTAGACAACTAACTAAAGAAAGTCTCCCACATTTTCACAATATTTTGAGCATAGCATTTCAAGCTGCATTAATGAAAAAATGCATAACTGCAAGGCAAGCATGAGAGCAAAGTGAAAGGGCAAGCTATTTAGAAAATATGAAAAGCAATGCAGCTCCCAAGTCCCTCAACCTGTGTCTCGTGAACTCTCCAGGAACTATACTCATATATTCACTTCTATGCACTTGATACGAGTTCAAAGAGAGGTCAGAGGCCCTGCTGCCTTCAGAGGCTGCAATGACAAATTCAGGTAAAAACATTTTTTTCCTCCTAAGTTTGAAGCAGTGTTTCTTTATGTCAGCTGGCTGGGAAATTCTGGGAGTTGAAGTTCACACATCTTCAAGAGAAACACTAATTTAGAATATCTAAGATAAGGTTGCAGCAGGGCTAAAGGTCCAATATAGATATACCAGTCTATTGCCCTTGAGACAAACAAACAAATCTAATTAGACCTTTCTCTAAAAAAAACCCCACACAATCGGGAAGATGAGAAGTCAAAACTGCTTACTAGTATAGTTCTGCAGCTAACTGAGAAACCAAAAGATATGAAATTCTCAGAAGTTTCATTGTTACTGAGAGTAGCTACTAGTCTTGGGAAAATAAGTACCCTAATGAAATCCATGTCATACTTTTTATTGCCACTATAAACCATCTCAGAGCTTTGGAAAAATAAAAACCACCGAAGTCTTTGAATGGCTGTGAAAAAAAGATACTGAAAATAAACAAACTACATTAATTATGAGGCAAATACAGAACAGTCTACAAATGTTTACTAATTGAACATTTATCCCAAATCACATCTGTTTTCCTCCTGGAAACGAAGCACAAAAGTTTAAAAGGGGGGGGGGGAATTCCCAAGCTTAGAAATCATCAAGGTTCTGGAAACAACAATTGAGGGTAGCCTTCCTTCTGGAACATTTTTTTCCTTCCGTATTTATTTGTATGTTATTTCCTCATAGGACTATAGATGATTTACACTACATAAAGAGTTTTTTAAATATTCATAAAATTGAAATAGAACAATTCACTAAAAATAGAGCTGTTGACTATTATTAACAAAAAAAAATGCTACTATTACTAGATAAAGAATTTTCTGCCAATATGTCCTCCAAGAGAGCAGCATGTTTACCATTTTTTTCTGAAGGAAATAAGGGGATAGGTGTATTTGGCTCAGGGCACAAATTCTTCCAGAAAGATCCTGAATTTTCTTTCTCTAGTTTCTAGTTCAAAAATCCTCTTGGGATGGGTACCTGGCACATTCTCCCTCTGTTGGGCTGTACAGGGAGCTCAGATTTTACCACAAGACCATTTTCAAGGAAATAAGCGAATAAGTTAAAGAATGGATGTTTATTCAAGTCAGGCCAAATAACTTTTGCCTAAAATTTGTCTATTTTTTTTAAAGAATGGAGGGTGAAAGTAAGTACTGATATGGGATGAAGTTCTGTTATTGTTCAAAAGAAAACATCTCACTTGGTAGAAATAAATCTTGGGATTCCCATACTCTGGTAGCCAGTGATTAAAAATAAAATAATTAATCTCTCTTCTTCAGCGTTAATAATATGATTCATTTCTTTGTAACAATAGCAAATCTTTGATTGTGATATGAATAAAAACAAATGGAAGATCATGGATTTTTCCTTTTTCATATACATGAACCAAGTAAAGCATGGTTGTCTGACGTTTTGGCTTGGCTGGGTTGCACTGAGCGAAAAGGAATTGTCTTAGGTTGCATATAATATATATAATATAGTTAATGTATTTAAATAACAAACTTCCTTTATTTTTTAATATTTTTATTATCTTGTGTGGCCACATAATCAACTGTCCAGGGAGGAATGTGGGTTGTGGGCTGCAGATTGGACATGCGTGAAATAAAGAAAAAATAAGGAAGAAAGAAGTCAATAGGAGTTCTTTCTTCAACACAGCCCATTGGCTGAAGAATTTTTAGTGGAACCTAGAAAAAAAATGGTCTCTGCTTACAGAACATACATCATTAATAAGGAGACTATGACTCTTTCTAAAGCTATCTAGTGAGTTAGATAGCTTTATCTAACTCACTAGATAGCCTATTTACACAGCTAAATAGATTTTCAGGGTTTAGATTCAGTTATTTTCCTCTTAAGGGTCGCCATCACTGCCCTAGAAAAATGCATAGGTTCCTCTGGGGGATGTTCCCTGGCCTTCAATGAGACCAATTTTATTTTTATATTTTTTCATATGAAAGCCCTCCTGCCTTGAATGCATTTCTACTACTGAGCTTATATGTCTGCCTTTTTTTAAAAAAAATAATATATGCATAGCTACTGCCATTTATCCAAAAGAAATCCAGTAAGCTTGCCATCTTGCGGAGGAATTAGAAATGCCTACATTTCTTATTTAAACCACGTTTGAAAGATGAAAAAGAAGTGATGGACATCCCTAACACCTCTTTTTCTTTTAAAAAAGAAATATTTTAAAAGTCTCCTTATTAAATGTTGAGGGGATGCCAATGCCTATTTTATTTTTAATGGGTTTTTGTAGTCAAATATAGACTGCCAGTATCATTTTCTAACTGTCACGCTGCATTTTAAAACATCACTTACATTTGATGTTTTAAATGGTTGATGCTTTACTTTATCCTTTAAAATCCATTGCCAAATGTTTATCAGCTCCTCTAGAATTCCACAGGTGCCACAGTTCCTTTTCAAAAAAGGTCATGTCTTCTTTTGAACTGATTGCTCTTTACTTACAATAGGATGGTCGATCTACTGGGGTCTCAGAGCTGTACTTACATGTGAAGGGGAGGATCACAGTGTGACTATATAATCCATGTTTTGGGCTATCATATCTAGGTTGCAAAAATCTAAATTGATAGTAGAAAGAAATTTTCTGTTGGAAGAAGGGTATTTGGGCAACTTTGAGAAAATTTATTCTTTAGTTTTGACATGCCTGTTTAATTTTTACATGTTTACTATCTCAAAATGGCAGGAAATTCTAATAGAAATTTTGAGTGATCATGGTCAGAGTAGAATCAAAGGGCTGCAGAAAGGTGACCCAGGTGTCTGCAAACAATATTTGGTTGTTCTATCTAGCCAAGCTTTGAATTTTTTTCCAATGCTATAACTGTGTAAGTAAGGCCCTGGCAAAAGTATTGTGGGGACTTTAAAAAATGGCTTTGTGATGCTCTGGATGATAGGATGAAGGAGAAAAGAAAGATAACATTGACAGTGACACCAGAATATCAAGGTTCTGCGCAAAAGGGTAATGCTGGTTCTGCAAAGCTCATTGAGCAATTCTGAAATCTAGAGGGCCTTTTGGGTGGCATGTGGCATGAATATCAGTCTACTCATAAACATTTTACCTGATATTGGTTAAGCTGGGGTGATTTTTCAGTGCCTCTGCAAAAGCCTTTGCTCCTTCATCCCCAATTTTGTTACCCCACATTCTGCCAAAGACAAAAAGATCAGGTACATTAAAGAATATTACCATCATGGGTTTTTAAAAAATATTTTTTAAAATCCTGCCTTTATTATTTTTATAAATAACTCAACCCAGCAAGCATACTTAATACTCCTTTCTATCCCTACTTTTTGTCCACAATAACAAGCCTTTGAGGCAAATTAAGCTGAGGCAAAGTGACTGGCTAAAGTTACCCAGCTGGCTTTCATGCCTAAGGCAGAACTAGAACTCACATCTCCTAATTTTTAGCTTAATACACTGCTCAAAAAAATAAAGGGAACATTTAAACAACACAATGTAACTCCAAGTCAATCACACTTCTGTGAAATCAAACTGTCCACTTAGGTAGCAACACTGATTGACAATCAATTTCACATGCTGTTGTGCAAATGGAATAGACAACAGGTGGAAAGCATAGGCAGAGAGCAAGACATCCCCAATAAAGGAGTGGTTCTGCAGGTGGTGACCACAAACCACTTCTCAGTTCCTATGCTTTCTGGCTGTTGTTTTGGTCACTTTTGAATGCTGGCGGTTCTGTCACTCTAGTGGTAACAGGAGACAGAGTCTACAACCTACAAGGTAGTGCAGCTCATCCAGGATGGCACATCAATGGAGCTGTGGCAAGAAGGTTTGCTGTGTCTGTCAGCGAAGTGTCCAGAGCATGGAGGCGCTACCAGGAGACAGGCCAGTACATTAGGAGACGTGGAGGAGGCCGTAGGAGGGCAACAACCCAGCATCAGGACCGCTACCTCCGTCTTTGTGCAAGGAGGGACAGGAGGAGCACTGCCAGAGCTGTGCAAAATGACCTCCAGCGGGCCACAAATGTGCATGTGGCTGCTCAAATGGTCAGAAACAGACTCCATGAGGGTGGCATGAGGGCCCAACGTCCACAGGTGGGGGTTGTGCCCAACACCGTGCAGGACGTTTGGCATTTGCCAGAGAACACCAAGATTGGCAACTTCGCCACTGGTGCCCTGTGCTCTTCACAGATGAAAGCAGGTTCACACTGAGCACATGTGACAGACGTGACAGGGTCTGAAGACGCCTTGGAGAACGTTCTGCTGCCTGCAACATCCTCCAGCATGACCGGTTTGGCAGTGGGTCGGTAATGGTGTGGGGTGGCATTTCTTTGGGGGGGGCGCACAGCCTTCCATGTGCTCGCCAGAGGTAGCCTGACTGCCATTAGGTACCGAGATGAGATCCTCAGACCCCTTGTGAGACCATATGCTGGTGTGGTTGGCCCTGGATTCCTCCTAATGCATGACAATGCTAGACCTCATGTGGCTGGAGTATGTCAGCAGTTCCTGCAAGACAAAGGCATTGATGCTATGGACTGGCCCGCCCGTTCCCCAGACCTGAATCCAATTGAGCACATCTGGGACATCATGTTTCGCCCCATCCACCAATGCCACGGTGCACCACAGACTGTCCAGGAGTTGGGGGATCCTTTAGTCCAGGTGTGGGAGGAGATCCCTCAGGAGACCATCCGCCACCTCATCAGGAGCATACCCAGGCATTGGTGGGAGGTCATACAGGCATGTGGAGGCCACACACACTACTGAGCCTCATTTTGCCTTGTTTTAAGGACATTACATCAAAGTTGGATCAGCCTGTAGTGTTTTCTTCCACTTTAATTTTGAGTGTAACTCCAAATCCAGACCTCCATGGGTTGATAAATTTGATTTCCATTGATAATTGTGCGATTTTGTTGTCAGCACATTCAACTATGTAATGAACAAAGTATTTACTACGAATATTTCATTCATTCAGATCTAGGATGTCTTATTTTTGTGTTCCCTTTATTTTTTTGAGCAGTGTACATTACAGTAAGCCATCAGAATCACACTATCCCAAAGGTGCTTTTTTAAAAAAAGGCAACTGGACCTTCTGCACAGAATGCACCTTTGGGACAACCATGATCTGGATGACTGAGAATTCCCTTAGACAGATTCACACTAGTTGAGAATTCAGGAAGTTGAAGTCCTCATATAGGGAAAGGGCTTAGGATGGCTTAGCATTATATGTGAATTAGGTCAATTGTGCCTTTTTTCAATAATCTATAGGTAAAATATAGGTAGTCCTTGATTTACAAACATTTACTTAATAATGGCTTGAATTAATGGCAATCTCTGAAAAAGTCAGTTTATTTATTTATTTATTTATTTATTAATCAAATTTCTATACCGCCGTACTCCCGAAGGACTCAGGGCGGTGAACAGCCAAGATAAAATACAGACAATACAAATATTAAAAATCCCTTAAAATTATTAAATATTTCGGCCGAAACACAGATTAAAACACCCAATTTATAAAATCACGAATTAAAAAATTTAAAATTTAAGAATTTAAAAGAGGGGAGTTAGGCCAGGCCAGTTACAAGTTAAATTTGAATTTAAGTCTGTCATCTCATCCCTGCAGTCATATGATCATAATCTGGGTACTTAGCAAACTGGTTTAGTAAATCTGTTGCAGTATCCTGTGATCATAATTTATATATTTTTTTTGCTGGTTTCTGACAAAAACCATTGCTTAACTGGATTTGCACTAGCAACTGCACGACTTGAATTATAACTGCAAGATTCTTATGACTGTTATAAAAATGGGAGTAAAATCAGGTCCAGTCACAAGATGACTCACCTTATGATGGCAATGGTTTACAATGGAAATTCTGGACCCAAACTGTGGTCATAAATCAAGAAATACCTATGCATGTGGTTTAACATTATGAATTTAAAAATTTTAAACTCATTCGTTTGGAAAACAAATTTGCAAGTAGATAGGAAGCTAACAAGGGGATTAGAAATGAGGGTTAATAAAGGAACATTGGACTTACCCTGAAGGTTTTTCTCCTTGCGCTGTGTGAGAGTCCATTGAATGGGTTGTCCTCATGTCACTGGCCAAAGACTGAGTTAAAATTAGCATAAACATGCCTCCCCTTCTGGTCTGGCTCCAGTTTGTTAACGAAGGTCTGGATCATAAAAACACTGAAACTCAAACAGAGGTAAACAAGTAACTGAATCCAGAACCCCACAGAAAGAAAGGGAGGGTATGGACTTCAGGGTAAGTCCAATGTTCCTTCTCCCTTGCGCTGCTAAGAGAGTCCATTGAATGGGTTATACCCAAGCTAAATATCCCTAGGGTGGGATAAAAAGGAACCCTGAGACGAGTTGGCAGGAAGAGCCTTCTGTAGCATTCTGCGATCAAAGGCTGCCTCGGCCGATGCAAACTTGTCCAACTTGTAGTTGTGGATGAAGGGCATGGGCAATGCCCAAGAGGCTGCCCTGCAAATCTCAAGAAGAGGAGCCTGGGTGGCCCAGGCAGCTGAGGTGGCTGCGCTCCGGGTCGAGTGGGCGGTAATGCGGGGGGGGGGGGTCGAGCCTTTTGTAGCTGGTCGTAGGCCATGGCAATGCAAGCCTTGATCCATCGAGCAATGGTCGAAGACAATACCTTGTGGCCCAGAGAGGTGGGTTGAAAGGAAATGAATAATGATTCTGATTTTCGGAATGAAGCAGTCCTGTCAATATACTTGCACAGAGCCCTGCGGACGTCCAAGGTGTGTAACCGGCATTCGGTGGGATGTTTGGGACTGGGACAAAAATCGGGAAGAACCACTTCCTGGGTTCTGGGTTCTGTGGAACCAGGTATTAATTTTAGGCAGAAAGGTGGGATCCAGTCTTAGTACGACACAGTTGGAATGAAAAATGCCTAAGTCCTTGCGAACAGAAAGGGCCAACTCCGAGATCCGACAAGCATAAGTGATTGCTACTAGAAATGTGACTTTGAAGGTCAGGAGCTTCAAGAAGGCGGAACCCAGCAGTTCAAAGGGAGGCTCCGACAGAACTCGGAGAACAACACTGAGGTCCCAGGATGGATATCTGTGGACTGTGGACTGTAGGAGGATGGAGGTTGGATGCACCCCGTAGGAAGACACGGACACGGGGATGTCTGGACAGAGTGTGAACCCCTTTGTAAGTAAGGACAGTTGCCAGCGCGGCGACCTGCCTGCATAGTGAATTGACGGCGAGTCCGGAGTTTAACCCCTCTTGAAGGAATTCTAAGACCGTGGAAACGGATGCAGAATAGGGAATGATACCCTTCCCTGAGCACCAATGACGGAACACGGTTCAGGTCGCTTTGTATATGAGTGTTGTAGATTGGCGACATGAAGTGAGAATGGTGCCAATCACCTCAGATGAGAAATGGTCCATCCTCAGGATCTCTTTCTCAAGTTCCAGGCGCCCAACTGGAACCACTGAGGGTCCGGGTGGTAGATGGTCCCCTGGCGGAGGAAATCTGGTCCAGAGGGATCCTCCAAGGAGGGGTGAGGGAAAGGTTCATGAGGTCCGCGAACCAGGTCCGCCGGGGCCAATACGGGGCAATGAAAATGACCTCCGTTCCCTCCATCAGAATCTTCCTGATAACCCTGGGTATCAGAGAAATCAACGGGAAGGTGTAGAGTAGGACCAGAAGCCACCAACAACAAAGGGTCCCCTCGGATTCTGGGGTCCAAAATCTGGTGAAGTAGCATTGGACCTGCGCATTGCTCGGGCTGGCGAAGAGGTCCACCTGGGGGCAGCCAAAGATGGTTGTGATGTGTAGAAAGATGACAGGGTGCAGCTGCCACTCTGCTTGATCGATTGTCAACCTGCTCAGCCAGTCTGCTTGAGTGTTGGAGACACCAGAGATGTGTCTGCCCATAGGGAGAGCAGATGGTGCTCCGCCCAGAGATCTAGCGCGGTAGCCTCGCGCATCAGGATCCTGGAGCGAGTGCCCCCTTGCCTGTTCACATGGGCCTTTGCCGTCATGTTGTCCATCTATAGAAGTACGTGATGACCCTCTAGTTGGTGTTGGAAGTGATGGAGCACCAGGTGGGCGGCACGTAACTCCAACCAATTGATGTCATTCCATAGGTCTCTGTGGGACAAACGACCCTGAGTCACTTGAGATTGGAAGTGCCCCCCCCATCTGAATAGACTTTAATCTGTGGTGACAACCAAATGTTGCAGATCCTGGAAGAAGCAGCCTTTCTCCAGGGCAGGGGTCCATCAGTTTAGAGAAGCGAGTACCCTGTGAGGAACCCTGATTTGGGCGCTTGAGGCGCTGGTGCCGGCCTTCTGGCTGGGCAAGAGGAGCCACTGAAGTGGATAAGAGTGTAACCTCGCCCAAGGAACTATCGACAAATAGGAGATCATCTGACCCAATAATTGGGAAAGCACCAGAAGAGGGACAGTCCTGTATGATATTCTGTATGATATTCCGGATGTTGACGAGTCACTCCGGAGACAGGAAGACAAGGCCAGACAAGGTGTTGATGCGTGCGCCGAGGTGAACGAGGTTGGTAGAGGGGCGAGATGATTCTTCTCCCAGTTCATGGTGAAGCCGTGCTCCTGGAGTGCCTTGATCGTTACATGGAGGTCAAGCTCCGCCTGTTGGGAGGAAGAAAAGAGAATTAAAATATCATCCAGGTAACAGAGTAATCTGATTGGCCTTGCTCTTAAATGGGGAGCAATGGCATCCAGGAGTTCGGTGAAAGTGTGGGGGGCGGACGAGAGACCAAAGGGCAAAGCCCTGTATTGGAAATGGGCCCCATTGTAGCAGAACCTAAGGAATCTCCGATGAGCCAGTCTGATGGGAACATGAAGATATGCTTCCTGGAGATCAATGGATGTCAAAAAATTTCCATGTCTGATGCTGGTCAAAATGATATGCAGAGATTGCATCTTGAAGCGCCTGTAACGGATATATAAATTCAAGCACTTCAAATCGAGTATGGCTCTGCAGCCCCCCAACTTCTTATGAACCAAGAAGAGAATCAAATAGAAGCCGGAACCCTGATGACCCAGGGGCACAGTTTCAATGGCTCGGATTGCCAGAAGATGTTGAATCTCGGCTTCCATAACAGTTCTCTTGGCAGGATCCTTAGACAGGGAACATTGAATCTCTGTGGGGGGTCAGAAGCAAACTCAAGGGTCACCCCAAGGTAAACAGTCTGGAGAACTCAGGCGTCGATGGTCATGTGGTGCCATGTGCTAGCGAATTCGGTAAGTCGACCATCGATGGGCTCAAAGCCTGAGCTATTACTTATGCCTTTGGAAGGGGCAGGAGCTGGAACTCCGAAAGGGGCGTTGAGACTGAGGGAGTCAAGAATGGTCCCAGAAGGACTGTCTGTCTGGAACTCTGTCAGAGGGGCCACTGGTAGGCCGGGGATTGGAACCCGGGATCCGAGGGCCGAAAGGAATGCCGTCGGTAGGGAAAAGCTGAACGCCGGTCTGACCGCCAAGATGTAGAGGGAAGGACTTTGTTCTTGTCCCTACCTTCTACATGGACCGGGTCTAAGGCCTCATCGAAAAGGGAGCTCCTTTTAAACGCCACTGAGACCAACTGTGATTTGGTCATCATGTCCGCTTGCCAATGGCGCAACCAGAGGAGATGCCTGGAAGTGATATTGGATGCCAGAGCTCGGGAAGCAAATTTTGCTGAGTTGAGTGTGGCATCAGCAGAAAATTCAGCGGCACCAATCAGCTTGTTGACATCCTGATGCAGGCGAGCATCATCTGGGGAAATCCTGGACTGCATCTGACGCAGCCAGATGAGGGACGTCCTGGCAAAGAATGATGCCGCTGTGGCACATTTGATGGCCCATGCGGTGGCTTGGTGTGTCTTGTGGGTTGAAAATTCAGTCCTCCTGTCCTCTGTTTTAAGTCCCTCAGCAGCATCCGAAGGAAGGATGCTCAGAGATGTCAGATGCGCCAAAGGAACGTCGACGACGGGAAGTTTCAGGAGATCTTTGAGAACCTGGTCCACCATGTAGTTTTTGTCCAGCCCACTAGGAGTCGGGATGGACCCCGGCTGAGCCCATTGCCGTTGAACAGTGTCAATGAATAGCTTGGGCAACGGAGTGGTCTCATGTTCAGGAACTGCCTCAGTGAAGAGCAGATTGGTGGAATCTTGAGGATCAGAGGAACTCTCCTGACGTGCAGTAGCGATTCCCATATTAGGCAGTGACTCGCGCCTTAGGCAAGAGGGTCTTAAACATTTCATGGCAGAAGAGACCAGTGGAGTGAGGCCTGTCCGAGGAAACCTCTTCCTCCTCACTAGGAAGGTTGAAGCCAAAGGCATCCTCATCCTCCATCAGTGACTGGTTGCTATGATGAGACGCAGAAGGTGAATGTCCACCTAGGAAGGACTCACAGTACAGGTGGACCAAAGGTTGCATTGCCTCTTGAAAAGGAACCGGAGCTGACAATGGGGCCAAAATGCCCCTTTTTGTGAGTGTAGCATCAATCCCTTTGGTCACCGTCTGAGTAATGAAGTCACACATTTCTTGCGGCATGGCAGAGGTGTGATCCTCTACTGGGCGGAGCCCTGCCGCAGTAGGTGTAAATGATGCAGAAGGCCTTGACTGCCTGGAGGGTCGCGCCGGTTCTGCGATGGGGCCTGACCCCTGCGCAAACACCTCCCTGATCACCGCCTGGTTATTCTGTGGGTCAGCATTGGAAGAGGTTGACCAGGTGGAATGGTCTTGACACCTTTGGGGGGGAAAGGCCTTGGTCAGGAGCCAAGATAGGATGTCCCCCAGGGTCAGAAGCAGTCGCGTCACTGCTGGTGGCTGCCTTTTTTTGAGGGCCTTATCAAATTGCTTGCTTAGTGCAAGGTGTCTGTGTTTGGCATCCTTTTCTGCAGCAGCAGAAGACGAGTTTATTGGAAGATCTCTCCCTAGATGAGTGAGATTTGGACTTAGATCTGCCCCTATTCTTAGTAGGGGGTGGAGGAGGCTTGGATTGACGAGAAGGGGATCGACTATGGTCCGCCATATTGGAAAGAGCCTCTCACTCCAGGTAAGTGGTCAAATTCAAATAAGAGAAATGCAAATAATAAGTTGGAGACAAGGCAATGAGAACAGAACAGATGAAACAGTTCCTAAATGCCAGAGCACATTTATCAAGGATAGCAGGGAGCCGGCAACACAGCCCTACAAGACCCCAGAGCCAGCCAGATGACCAGAAAAGAGGAAAAAAATTTATACTCCTATATGTTCGAATGGGCTGCAGAAAATGGCACGGAGCCGGCAACACAGCTCCACAACACCTGGATGGTAACAGAAAATGGCGCGGAACTGACAGCACAGCTCCCCAAGTGCCCACACCAACCTGAGAAAACGGCTGCGAGCCGAAAACCCGGTCTCCCAGCGCTCCTATGAGGTAAACAAAATGGCGCCGAGCCCTACAATCGCTCTTGCGCGCTCCACAAATAAGCCCAATAGAAAGGAAGCCGACAGAACGGCTTCACAAACGATCTAGAGGCAGATGACGCAGGGAGAGCCTAGCCCCAACAATACGGGACTCTCCTCAATCCCCTCAGTGCGAAGCCAACACCATGGCTCCTTTCGTGTCTCAATACACTCATGGTTAGATGAGAATGATCCCTGCGGCAAAAGGAATTGTTCGGCGAGCCGATGCTTGAAGCGCCGAACCAGAACGGCTGCGTCAAACCACTGCTCAGCTGAGCGGCGCTCGGGCGAAGGCGAAGCTCCCCCCCGGCGACTGCAAGATCCACACTTGAAGAGGTAAAGAGTCACAACAAAGTTGAGAAAGTAGTTAGCTAAAAAAACTGCAAGAAGAGAGTCCATTGAAGGAGCCAGTAAAGAAACACAGTCATTAAGGCCGGACTGAGTTAAAGAACTGGAGCCAGACCGGAAGGGGAGGTGTGTTTATGCTAATTTTAACTCAGTCTTTGGCCAATGACATGAGGACAACCCATTCAATGGACTCTCTTAGAAGTGCAAGGGAGAAGCTAGACTTCTTAGCAACATAAATGTTAAAATGAAATTACAGATTGTCTTTGTTTAACAACCAATTGTTCAGTGATGGGTCAAACTTACGATGGTGCTGAATGACCAGATCTCATACACAGTGATCATGATTGTGGATCATTGCAGTGTCCCAGTCATGATCGCTACTTGTGAGTTTCCCTGCCAGTTTCTTGCAAGCAAACACAATGGAGAAGTCAGTTGGAAGTCATGTGAGGTCCTCATTTAGTGACCCATGTGATCCTTGCTTAAAAACCACAACTGGACTCCTGGAAGTGTTGCCACTAGGCAGCAAGGTCACATAGTTTTTTGGTTTATGACCATATCGCTTAATGGCAGTTTCTGGTTCCAATTAGCATCATTAAATGAGGACTATGTGTACTGGTTTCTGTTCAGAACATTTTTTTAAAAAAATGCCATACTTACCCAATTTCATACATAGTTTTACTTTTCTTGATGGCATAAGCAAGACTTTTCCCTCCCTCAGTTGTTATCTTGTTTGCTCCAATCCTGCAAAGAAATTATTTTCCTGGAAATCAAATCAACAAACATTTTTGTTTCAATGCTGTTTTAGATACCTAACATTGTTTTGGAAAAAAACGGCCTTTTCATCATGGCTCAGTTAGCCTTATGCCCCATTCCTAAACCAACATATAAATTGATAATCTCAGTTCCAATCCTTATCTTGCCTTTATTACCTGTGTTCTGACTTGCTGCTCCATGGTGGTGATCTGCTTTCAGATATGTAGGGGTTTTAAGCCATCTGGTTTGCTGCCCCTCTTCTTTCTAACTGACATTAGCTTGCAAATATTTGTCAATTATATCTTTGCTTTACTGGCAGATGGAGAAGACATGCCTAAACCAGTTTAGGCTGTTTTTGCTACTTTACAGTTATGATTAATCACAGTTTCACATTTGCCATACTCTAAATCACAGTTGTCAAACTTGCGGCATCACGTTGCTGTCATGTGACGTTTTTCCTCTTTGCGGAGCTGGAGTGGACGTGGCCTGTGTGTGTGCATCCGGCCTGCGGGCCGCCAGTTTGACACCCCTGCTCTAAGTAATAGCTAATTTTAAAAAAGTGGAAACTTCCAACATTCTTCAGAGAAGAAGCCAGCAAACTAGTCTGCTCTGATATCATTCAACCAAGATGTAGCATTGCATCTAAACACAACTACTTGCCTTTTATTAATACAATATGCTTTTAGTTCATACTGTGTACTCTTATCTGCTCTTCTATGAATTTTTAAAAATAGAGTGCTTACAGTAATTTTGATCAATAGGTAGACTTCTTGGTGAACTAATTCTGAACCTATGTCATGTGACCTGTTTTTTTAAACATGCATTGAAAGCTGTATTGTCATATGACCTGTTTTTTTTAAACATGCATTGAAAGCTATATTGTTGCAACTGTATTGTTGCATTGTTCTAACAAGAAATATTAGTTCATAATTTTACTATTCATAAAATATAGTACAATACTATACAACTAGCTTTCTTATACTTTCCCTATGGACATTTTAAAAAATATATCAACATTTTGGAATGAAAAGCAGATAAGTATATCATCTGATCCATTCTTTTTTTGGGGGGGGGGAGAGAATGGGAAATCTTCCTGGAATTATGATTAATGAAGCATTTAGGACCCAAATACTAATAATTTTTACCTTGGCTGTTCCTTCATGGGCTTTTATGCTGGTAAAAGCCCATGAAGGAATAGACAAAGGCTGCTTAATCAACTGATTAAAGATTTTTAAGTGGGCTTATCATCTACTTTTAACTGATTCATTAAAACCAAACAGTTATGCAGAGTGCACAAACCATATGCAAGTTGAATCTTGGAAATTTTTGTTGGGAGAATGTGTAAATTAATTTGTAATCTAATTACAAATTAAAATGTAATCTTATGGGCAGAAGAGTTTGCTCATCCTTCTAAAACAAGGCAATTAAAATATTGAACAAGGTCTTTTATTCTTCGCACTAATGTGCTTAAATGAAAAAAGTTTCTAAAGCTGATGAATCCTAGCCAAAACTACAATCTTAAAATAATTTTGGGAAACATTCATATGGGAAGAATATTCTTAAATTCGAATACAGGTGGTCAGTGACACTACAGCCTGTTCATTATGGTCACAAGTTGTGGTTGCTAAGCGAGCTGCCCAGGTGATTGCCTCACTTACTGACCACAGTCTCTGCTCTCCAGTCATTAAGTAACCAGACAGGTTGTTAAACAGAGGATAAGGTTCCTTAGGAGTTGGGAGGTCTAGTGCAGGCCCAGGCTTGTATTGCAGCATCTCTCTAGCTCACAGGCGACCAGAGCATCTCATTCTGATGGACCCTGTGCTCTGCTTCCTGCCATAGTGGGTCTCCACAGGCGTTGGGTACCATACCCTCCTCCCCCATTCCTGTCACAGATTGGTCATTTACCTTTTTGGTATATCTTTGGGAAGAAGCCACTCTGTTGCAAGGCCTTCCTACATAATGGGCCCATTGGAAGTGATCCCTATTTTGAAAGCATTCACAATGAATGACACGCCCTCAGCTTCTTTATACAGTGGAGGTCATGTAGTGCCATCCTAGAAGTAGGCACTGTTTCAGAGAGGGATACTGTAGACACTACAGTATTCCTGCTGTTGTTCATAAGCGTGGGCCAACTGCTAAGAGGCTGAATTTTGTTCACATGACTGCAGAGGCACTGTAGAGACTATTGACTTTGGGCAAGGATTATAAATCCCTTTGTTCAGTGTCACTGTAACTGAATAGTTGCTGAGCAATCATAAATCGAGGATTATCTGTATATTGAGTGGCTGATTCTGCCACTTACAAAGCCTTGACAATTCATGACATTCATAGAGTGGGACTGCTAGAGAAGTCTGTAGGAATACTTTTGGTTACTCAAATTTACATAATATAATATAGCCAATTGACTATATCAGACATGAGCATCAGCCACAATAAAGTGGGGTAAGATACAGTGAAGTGATATAAAATGTACACAAATTTACACAAATAATCCTCACATGTACAACCACATAAGATAATTGTGCAGCTTGGATTTAACAAATCCAAAGCCACTCCTGAGTTGCCTCAACGTCTATTATTTTGGGGGGCCTTCTCCTGCAGGAAATATCAGCAATTAATCTAAACAAAAGGTTTTCCAACTAAAGCTGCCAAGGAGTTGTATTTATATGCTGGTGCCTCAACACTGGTTGTTGAACATTTCCATTCCATCCAAATCCTCTCTAGCCAGTGATCTTGGAATAAGAACTACCCTTCAAGTTCTACTAATTTTGATTAACCGGACCCCCATGTGATAATTTAATCTCTGATGAACCCAATGATAACTGCAAGGCTAATAATTAAGCTAAGTCCCTCAAAGTTTTCAGTTTTAGGATTTTCAAGATAGATCATGGATGTTCACATAAATGGCTCTTATATGAAGATTCACCCTTTCCTATAATTTTTACCATGATGGTAAAAATTTAACCAAAATTGTTTTCCTTCACTGATCTTCTCACTCCAACCAAATACTTATTATCCCTCCCAACAACTTTTTTTCTAGGCTAGATACCACTCATTGATGTCTGTCTGTCTATACATATACAGTGGGGCAAAAAAGTATTTAGTCAGCCACCAATTGTGCAAATTCTCCCACTTAAAAAAGATGAGAGAGGCCTGTAATTGACATCATAGGTAGACCTCAACTATGAGAGACAAAATGAGAAAACAAATCCAGACAATCACATTGTCTGATTTGGAAAGAATTTATTTGCAAATTATGGTGGAAAATAAGTATTTGGTCAATATCATCTCAATACTTTGTTATTATATATCCTTTGTTGGCAATGACAGAGATCAATTGTTTTCTGTAAGTCTTCACAAGGTTGGCACACACTGTTGCTGGTATGTTGTCCCATTCCTCCATGCAGATCTCCTCTAGACCAGTGATGTTTTGGGGCTGTCGCTGGGCAACACGGATTTTCAACTCCCTCCAAAGGTTTTCTATGGGGTTGAGATCTGGAGACTGGCTAGGCCACTCCAGGACCTTGAAATGCTTCTTACGAAGCCACTCCTTCGTTGCCCGGGCGGTGTGTTTGGGATCATTGTCATGCTGAAAGACCCAGCCACGTTTCATCTTCAATGCCCTTGTTGATGGAAGGAGGTTTGCACTCAAAATCTGACGATACATGGCCCCATTCATTCTTTCCTGTACATGAATCAGTTGTTCTGGTCCCTTTGCAGAGAAACAGCCCCAAAGCATGATGTTGCCACCCACATGCTTCACAGTAGGTATGGTGTTCTTTGGATGCAACTCAGCATTCTCTCTCCTCCAAACACGACGAGTTGTGTTTCTACCAAACAGTTCTACTTTGGTTTCATCTGACCATATGATGTTCTCCCAATCCTCTTCTGGATCATCCAAAATGCTCTCTAGCAAACTTCAGACGGGCCCAGACATGTACTGGCTTAAACAGGGGGACATGTCTGGCACTGCAGGATCTGAGTCCCTAACGGCATAGTGTGTTACTGATGGTAACCTTTGTTACGTTGGTCCCAGCTCTCTGCAGGTCATTCACTAGGTCCCCCCGTGTGGTTCTGGGATTTTTGCTCACCGTTCTTGTGATCATTTTGACCCCACGGGGTGAGATCTTGCATGGAGCCCCAGATCGAGGGAGATTATCAGTTGTCTTGTATGTCTTCCATTTTCTAATTATTACTCCCACAGTTGATTTCTTCACACCAAGCTGCTTGCCTATTACAGATTCAGTCTTCCCAACCTGGTGCAGGTCTACAATTTTGTTTCTGGTGTCCTTCGACAGCTCTTTGGTCTTCACCATAGTGGAGTTTGGAGTGTGACTGTTTGAGGTTGTGGACAGGTGTCTTTTATACTGATAACAAGTTCAAACAGGTGCCATTAATACAAGTAATGAGTAGAGGACAGAGGAGCCTCTTAAAGAAGAAGTTACAGGTCTGTGAGAGCTAGAAATCTTGCTTGTTTGTAGGTGACCAAATACTTATTTTCCACCATAATTTGCAAATAAATTATTTCCAAATCAGACAATGTGATTGTCTGGATTTGTTTTCTCATTTGTCTCTCATAGTTGAGGTCTACCTATGATGACAATTACAGGCCTCTCTCATCTTTTTAAGTGGGAGAACTTGCACAATTGGTGGCTGACTAAATACTATTTTGCCCCACTATACATTCATACATACATACTGTATTTTCCTGAAAATAAGGCCTACTCCGAAAATAAACCCTAGTGTTCTGTCCCCATCTCACACACGCACACCAGCAGACAAGAATTTAGAGTTCTTGAGTTAAAATAAACCAGCAGACAAGAATTTCCTTTGATAACAGAATTGGCAGCAACCCAGGGGCTGCTTGCCAAAAGTTTTTACTTACAAAGGGAGGTTTTCCTCCTCCGTCGGATAAACCAAAATAAGGGCACAAAGCCAAAGAATTGTCAAGTCCAGTCCATAATAAATCCCAGGAAGGCATATAACGAAGTTCCAGAAACGCAGTATGACTTGCTAGCTTTTCAGTTTTGTCCGTCACAAAGCCTGAATGGCCACCACACCCCTTTATCCCCTGTGGGGTGTGGTCCAGTGACTCAGCCTAATCTCTGGCACGCCTCCTTCTCTGCTGCACGCGCTTGTTTTCCGACGCTGTCGGGGATCCAGCCAAGAATTATCTCTGTCGCTGTCTAACTGCAGCTGCTCGGAAGTGCCTGGCTCCTGGCCTATCTCTTGGCTTTCGGAAGACACCTGAGGCATTGCCAGAGAGGAGGGTCCTGGAGAGGGAGGCCTTGCCAACTCCTCTCCTTCACTTTCGGAGTCTTCTCCCTCCGATAAGACGGGCTCGAGGGTCGGAGTCACAATACCTAGCCTGATTTTTATCTATGTGCCTAATATAAATCCTACCCCAAAAATAAGCCCTAGTGAAAATCATCATCAGCCAGGGGGGCATGGCAAGCAACAGAGGCGAGGGCGCAGGGACCAATGGTGTCTGGCAGCAGCTGCAGCTGCACAGCACAAATGAGTTGATTACTGTCCAAGCAGCAAGCGAAGGCAGAGGCAGGGGGCAGGCAGGCGATCCGGATGCGGCGCACAGGCCGCGGGAGAGCCAAGAGTCGGTGGGCTGGAGCAGGCAGCCAGCCGCAGAAAGCTCATTTCCATGCGGTGGCACTGGCAGCAGATGGAGGCAGAGGGGCAAGGCAAGCAATCCTGATGCTCTGTGCAGACTGCAGGAAAGCTGAGAGACATGAAGATGAGCCTGCCATGGCTGCCTGCCCACTCTGTCCCACTTTCTTGGCTTGCCTGTGACCCATGCAGCATATCTGGATTGAATGCCTCCCTCCATGTCTCTGCCACCAGGTGAAGATGAGCCTCCTGCAGTGAGCCGCTTGCTCCGGCCCACCAATCTCAGCTTTCCTGCAGACTGCATGGCATGTCTGGATTGGGTGCCTCCCCCCCGTGCTTCTAATGCCATCTGCTGCTTGGACAGATAATCAACTCATCTGTGCTGCGTAGACTGTGCAGTTCCAGAGTGTGCTGACCAAGGGGCTGGCGGGCTGCAGCTGGTACCAGACATCGGCCTCCATTTGCTCACTGCCTTTTCTGCACATGCCGGGTGTGTGTGTGTGTGTGTGTGTGCCCAGCCAGGCTGATCACTCTGAAATCATGTTTTCCTGAAAATAAGCCCTAGTCCTTATTATAAAGCCCCACCCCAAAAAATATAAGACCAGGTCTTATTTTCGGGAAAACATGGTATACACACACACACACACACACACACACATTCTATAAGCCACCAAACTAAGCAGAGGAAATAGATGAATTTTTTATTAATCAGTTAGCTAATGTGTGCAGGAAACACATTACAATGGTAATAGTGAACTTTAACTACGCTGACATCAACTGGGAGACAAATTCTGCACCATGTGGGAGATTAAACAGTTTCCTGACAAGCCTAGCTGATCACTTTGTCAACCAAAAAGTATAGGAGAGACCTAAAGGATCAGTCTTACTAACATGATGAAATGATAGAGGGGGTTGAAGTTGCGGGAACTTTGTGGGAGAGTGACCATGTCATACTGAAATTCAACATAATACAGGCACAAGTAATTGAACAAAGTCAAATACCATCTTAGACTTCAATAAACTAAGAGTTTAGGAAGGATTCCACGGATGAAAATTCTAAAGGAGAAAACAACTCAAGATGCTTGGGAAACTCTGAAAAATGAGATTATAAAAGCCCAATTTAAAACAATATCACAGAGACAGAAAAACAAGAAACCCCAGATGAAGCCAGAATGGTTGCATAAAGAACTCTCTGACAAACTGAGAGAAAAAAAAGGACAAGGGTAAAAAATGGAAAGAGGGTCATATACCTAAAATACCAACAAATAGACCGAATGTACAAGGACGAAGTCAGGAAAGTTAAGACTAAGAATGAACTAAGACTTGCAACAAATGCCAAAATTAAGAGTTTCTGTCAACATGTAAAAAGCAAGACAAAAGTCAAGGAAATGATTATTAGAAGATGACAAAATGCTGACAGGTAGCAGGGAGAAAGCAGAACTGCTTAATTCATTCTTTGCATCTGTCTTCCCATAATAGGAAAAAATAGTCCAATCTACCAAAATCAGCACTATAGGGAACAGACCAGGAATGCAAGTCAAAATAAGCAAGAAAATATAAGAGAACACTTATCCACTTTAGATGAGTTCAAATTGCCAGATGATTACGGAGTTCTGAAGAAGCTGGCAGACATTATCTTGGAACCACTGAACATAATATTTCAGAACTCCTAGAGAAGGGGGAACTACCAAAGGACTGGAAAAAAGCTCATATGGTTGCAATCTATAAAAAGGGGGAAATGTCGTTGCAATCTATAAAAAGTGGAAAATATATTCCAGAAACTACAGACAAATCTGCTTAATAGCAATACCTGGGAAGATCCTGGAAAAGATAATTAATACATTTGTGAGCATCTAGAAATGAACAAGATAATTAACAGAAGCCAGTATCGGTTTGTCAAAAAAAGATTATGCCAGGTAAACCTTATTGCCTTCTTTGACAATAATGGTTAAATTAGTGGATAGGGAAAACAGTGTGGACTGTTTATTTAGACTTCAGTAAGATAAAGTAGCCCACAGCCTACTTTTTTGTAAGATAGAACAATATGGGACAGTACAATTGCCAGATGGAGTCACAGCTGATCAATCACATTCAGTGTATAGTCCTCAATTGAACTACATCTATATGGAGGGAAGCTTGCAGAGGGATACTTCAAGGATCTGTCTTAGCCCCAGTACTTTTCAACATCTTTATAAAAGCTTAGATAAGGAGTTAGTAAGAGAACTCATCATATTTGCAGATGATACCAAGCTGGGGGAATAGCTAATATTTTAGATATTGGATAGAAATACAGAAGGACCTTGACAGAGGTCCCTTTTCAACAAAATGAAATTCAGTGATGAGAAAAGTAGGGTCCTGCACTTTGGCAGGAAAAAACAAATCATAGCTTTAGAATTGCTGAACAGTAGTAACTTTGAGAGGGATTTAGGTGTCCTAATATAGTACCACTTAAGTTAGAGCCAGCAATTTGCTGCAGCTGCAAAAAAGCCAATACAGTCCTAGATTGCATCAACAGAAGGATAGTTTCAAGATCATGTGAAGTGATAATGCCACTTTATATGCACTGTTGAGACCACATTTGGAATACTCCATCCAATTCTAGTTACCATGATACAAAAAAGGAGATTGAGAACTCAGAAAGAGTACAGACAAGAACAACAAAGATAATCTGGAGTCTGAGATCTGGAGGCTAAACGATATGAATGATTGTGGGAACTAGGTAAGTTTAGTCTAATGAACAGAAGGACTAGGAGTGATATGATAGCAATCTTCCAGTACTTTAGGGGCTTCACATAGAAGAGGGAGGATGGAAAATCATTAAAGAGAGATCCAATCTAGAACTAAAGAAAAATTTCTGACAGTGAGAACAATTAATTAATCAGTGAAATGGCTGGCTTCCGGAAGTTGTATGTGCTCCATCACAGGAGGTTTTCAAGAAGAGACTAGACAACAATTTGTATAGAATGGTTTAAGATCTCCTGCCATGGATAGGAGCTTGGACTAGAAGACCTCCAAACTCCCTTGCAACCTTATTATTCTATGTTCTATCTATTCTACTATCTGTCAGACAATCTATACATACATAGACACTCCATTATGTTTCTATTCTACCAAGATGACTGCAGCAAACCATTTCTCATTTATTTATAATTGCTAATTAAAGACACAAAAATCACAAAACTGTATCTTACTTATTTTGGCCATGTCTTGTGGGAGAATTCACTGGAGAAAGCAATTATTTTGGAAGAGTTAGTGGTAAAAAGAAACCAGGCTGCCAAAGAACACAGTGGTTTGACACCATCAAAGCTGATACTAGCTAAAGCATAGAACAACTTACAGAAGCAGTATATTGGAAGATGTAGAGAAACCTGGTCCATAGTATTGCCAAGAGTCAGACATCATTGAATGGATAATATCATCATCAATTAAAAGAATTTAACATTTATTTTTAAAGTCAGATGGGGACAGGCAGCAGGAGGATGCCAAGGCTAATATTTATGGGTATACTGGTGTTCATGAGAATCTCACTGGGTTAACTCAGAAGTACTTTTTACTCTGCAAGCAGCCACCCCCGGGTTCAAACAAGTTTATTCTTCTTCCATTCCATTATGGTAGCTGCTGGTTGAGTAATGCAAAGGAGATTCTCCATGGAAGGGGGTCTGCATACTGCAGTTATATTGCTCCAAAGCTCAGAGATACTTAACCTTCATATCCAGCAGGATTATATGGAAAAACCTTGGGGTGGTTGAGGAGGCAGAATCCATTTTTGAAGGCTTAATTACTTGAGAGCTAGGATGATATAGGGATAGGAGAGATACTTACTTAACATAGATGAGGCTTGGACATTCCTCAATGAGTCTTGCCACATACTTTGCTCCAATATCGGTAATCTGGTTGTTATATAAGCTTTGGAAGGAATAATAGCAGCTAGGGTATTAGCTAATTAAGTTAATTATATCAAATACATATTTTTTTTAAAAAGTACAAATACAATTTCCCAATTATAATCTAATTGAGACAAGCTTGTTTCTTTTGCACAAGAATAAATAAAAATTAAAAAAGCAGTTCCATATAGTTTCAGACCTCTTAAAATTTATTATGATATGCTGCTTATTCAGTAGTTTTTTATGCAAAGACTGCTTTTTCGATTGACTTTAAAATAAAAGCCATTAAATTCAAGGCAGTTTCTTCTAAGAGGACAAGTATGGGTTTGCACTATTAAAACAGAAATTAACAGATAGAAGGTACATAGCTTTCTTTTAAAACATTTCCTTTTGTATTGTATTTACAATTGTATTTACTTTGTATTTCTTTGACCAAGGAGGAATCCTCCACACATACACACACACATATACACCATTAGCACCACTCCACCACTACCACCATTGGCAGGGCAAGTTATAGTACATGAACAGGGAGCAAATCTTTCTCTCTAGCACTGATAATATTACTTAGTTGGGTAATGAAATACCTGCAAGCAAATAACTAAGCTCAGAGACCTCCAATGATTCCACCGTTCAATCCTGAGCTACATATATTCTTTTTTTTATCAGTTTGATATGCTGGATGGGATTTGTGGACATTGAAATTCAACCTCTGCAAATAAAAGTTGAATGGATTATTAGCATGTAATGAATCAGGCATTGCACCTCTGCCTAATTTTCTTAGTGCTCTTCTTTAAATTGATCTCCATTCAATAACTTTTCAATTGTTATTATTTCATGATGCTACACTAAATATAAAAATACTAAAGGCAATATGTATGTATGTATGTATGTATGTACGTATGTATGTATGTATATGTATATATATGTATTCTATCAAAGCAACCTGGTCTACCCAAATATGGGAAGGAGGATACTGCTTCCTTTTCGCCTTTCAGCCTCAATCCAAGAGCCCTCAGGCAGTTGCTTTCACGACAAACTATTTTGTGTTAAATTTATATTTACTGACAAAGAAATAAAGAGAGACTAGTATAGATCTATTTCAAGCTATTTAGCTCTTATCAGTTAGCCATACCCTTCTGGAATTCGAACCTGGACTTGCTTGCAGCATGCTCCTTCCCATATTTGGGTAGACCAGGTTGCTTTGATAGAAAACCCATTTAATCTCCCCTGGTACAAACTGACAAAGTGAGGTAAACCTGTGGCTTAGCGGTTAATACATTTCCTTAAAATGCAAGCAAGCCCAGGTTTGAATCCCAGAAGGCTAGCTGATGTACTATAAATTTAACACAACAGATAGATAGATAGATAGATAGATAGATAGATAGATAGATAGATAGATAGATAGAAATACATGTTGATAGCAATCAAGCAATGGATCAAATGATCTGGCAATTATCTAGATATGGAAGTCATTACTCTTTCACATTACTCCCCTTGATAATGGGAACATGCCCTTCACACAGTGAGTATCTGAGCTCGACCTTTGTACATACCCCAAATAAGACACAATTTTAAATTTGGACAGCTCCTCGTAAAGCACTCTCACACCTTGATCTGTGATCTGGTTCACGCTCACCCTAAAGTAAAAGAAAAATGTGATAAAGTAGCTGGTTCACTGCACCATATATATTGAAGTATGATCCTTTTAATTCAAAGAAGCATCAGCAGATTTAGCTTTCTTTGAAATACCAACAATGTTTGAAAACAGAACAAAATGGCTTCTTTCTTTTCTCCTTCACTAACTGAAGCAATTTATCCATAAATAAATAAATAATCTCTAAAAGAAACTGATTATAATTCTTAAAAGTAATATTTTAGGGATTCCAAGAATCACTCAAAGGACAATTTTACCAGCACTGTGTAGATGAGAGGGCATAAAAAGTAAGAGTCTGCTCCCCGTTTCTTTCAAGAGAAATAGCTTCTTTCCTTATATCAATTCCTATTAGATCATTGTGTTACTGTACCTGAGTACTGCCAGATGGCTAAAGCAAGGCTGCAGCTGCTTGATCCCATAATCATTGATGTTGTTATTGTCCAGATCAAGGGCCAAGCGTTTCTGGAAATGATGCATAACAAAGGAGATGGCACTGCAGTCAGCGGAGTAGGCATTGCAGTAAGTCAACTTGATATAGTTGGCACGCATGCATTTGGCAATCCCTTTACTAACTTTTTCACTCTGCGTCTCATAGATGCATCTCAGCATCCAAACAAAGTTTGGCATTACTTGCACCTGTTTGTATTCTTTCAGCCTTGCCCGAGAGAGACCCTTTAGATGAGACTTCATGCTTTCAAAAAAATAGGCAAGAAGAATCCTCCTTTTCTTCTTGACTGTACTCAGAGGAATCAGATGCCTCAAGAGTTTCTGCTTTGCCTTGGAAAGCAAGCCACACAGGAAGAGATTAGTAAAATGAAAGTGCTCTTTATTTCGGAAAGGATCCCCTCCTGTTGGATGGTAATTTTTTGACCAGGAAAGAGGCAAGCAGGAAGATAGAGTAATGTCTTGCATGGAGCATTCAGCAAAGAATTGCAGCAAATCCCTGGCACCTACTTTTTCATCTGTTACCAGATAAAAAGCTGTGAAAAATGACTGCAAGGTCAAGTGCAGGAATTCATAGCAAGATTGGTCTACAATACCTTCATGATCAGGAATTGTCCTGAGAAATCCTAAATGTAAATCCTGCTCAAGGAGGTCACTAAGGCCTTCCTCTTGCTCAAAGACGAAGAGAGATTTCTGCATCCCCATGTAGGCTATTTTACTCAGTGCAAACAATTTCTCTTTATTAGACCTGTATGTTTCTTCTTGGCTTCTGTTGTTCTTCTTTAGAAAATTTCTCTTTTGAATGCGATTAAGGTGGACTTCAGTCATGAGCAAGAATATATCCGTTAGAGTGACAGTGAAGTCTGGGAGCTCATGGCTATCAAATGCAGAGTGGAAATGTTCAAAGCATTTGAAGATAATCCAGCAAAATAATGGCACTGAACACAAACTGCTTAGATTTGGGTTGGCTTCCAATTGATTCAAAACCAAAGTTCGACATCCTTCATCTTTGAAGAACATTTTAGTATAATCTTTCAGGTTACTACTGGAAAACCCTCGGAGATATACTTTCTTCCGGACAATGTTTTTAACAATTTCTGTCCCTGTCCTAGCTGTCAGAATTTTTCTAGATCCCTTCAAAAGTTTTCCACTGAGGAGGCCCACCAGAAGAGCAAGTGGGTGAATAGATTCAGTGGGAGAGCAGATTTCAGGAATACTACTGAGATCAAAATCAGAATGAATTTCATCAAATCCATCAAATGTAAACAAGACAGTATGAGGAAATTTTACAATGAAGTTGAAAACCTCCTCTTGATCCTGATCTGGGAAACAGTTATATTTGAAAAGAAGATCCTTTAAACAAAAGGCTTCTTCTTGCTTGAAACAACTGAACATTCGGCATCGGAAACAAAAAAAGAATTTGGCCCCTACATCAAAGGCATTCTTGGACCACAGATTTTGCATCTTTTGCAGTAACAAGGACTTTCCAATCCCAGCATCTCCAAAGATATAGATGGTCTCTCCATTTTCATTGATCAGCCCAAAACTGTCAGTAAGTAAATCTTCTAAAGCATCCACATTACTGAGTTTCTCATTTTTATGATTGAGAAACTCCATAATGTTGGCAGAATATATTTCTTCAAGCAACATGTCTTCCTTTTGGGCATATGACATGACGAACTTTGTTTCTCGGCCCAATTCATCTTTAAGTTTCTGCTGGTATCTGCTGACTAAAGATAAAGCTAAGTATTATTAAATGAATTTTAAGGCAGTTCATGTAACAGAAAGATTTCTAGGAGCCATTTAAAAATATTTATACTACTAATAGATGATACGATCTATTTAAATTGTGTTCTACTCTTCCATGTTTCTTTGGAATATGTGAGAATTTTCAAAGCAGCTATGGAATCTCTCAAGGGACTGACACTCCACTCAAAATGTAATAGTAAAACACATACACTCATAAACACCAAGCATTTAGATCATTTCTCTTTACACATATAGACTTCTTCCACAGAAGTATATTGCTGTAAATGTATGCCAGGAAATTGATGCCCCACCCCAATACACAAAGTGTAATTTCACATGCATGACATCGTCACACATTACATATCCTAAATGCACATTAATTTTATGGCCCTCTTTTAAAAGATTTTATAAATTGTTTTTGGAAAACTATATTATTGCATATGTGCATATGTATATGTATATATTATTGTACGTGTTTGTGTTTATGCACAATTATTGATTGACTGTAATATTTGGATTTGCTTTTAGTAGTATTATTCAATTTTGTCCCAGCATTCTTAAGTTTTATCTTTGGTTAACAATTCTTTTGATATTTTATGAAGATGTATTAGATTTAAACATCATTTCCCACAGATTAGCATATTTCCAATTTGCAAATTGTCACATGATTACTTTACTCTGAACCCAATTGCAATAATAAACAATATTAAAATAACTATTATATAAAATTATATACATTTTTCACTTACCTTGCCCAGTGGGCTCTCTCCCAAATGTAATGGTTATAATGCCTATCATTTTGTTTTGTGGCATGTAGTTACAAGGAATTCAATACAGGTAGTCCTTGACTTACAACAGTTCATTTAGTGACTATTCAAACTTACAATGGCACTGAAAAAAGTGATTTATGACCATTTTTCACACGTACAATGATTATAGCAATCTGATAGTCATATGATCAAAATTCGGATGCTTGGAAACTGATTCATATTTATGACAGTTGCAGTGCCCCAGGATCATATGAACACCTTTTGTGACCTTCTGAAAAGCAATGTCAATGGGGAAACCAAATCGACTTAACAATCATGTAACAACTACAACGATTACACTTTGTCTCCTCTCCCCCATTTCTATGGCATGTAATATATAGAAAGATCTTTGGCTTCCATAAACTAGCATTTTGTAATTATGATGTTTTTATTTAAATGATATCTAAATATGTACATGATCCCCATGATATTCCTCTTCAGGACAAGTAACACAATGTAATGCACAGAAGAAGAGTAAGAACTAGTAAGTCAATAAATTACAGGGAAAGGAGAAGGGCAGCTAATGTCGCGGCGAAGCAGTGCGAAACAGTGCGGACGAGCAGTAGCTCCGTGAAGTCCTGCTGATTTCTTCAAGCCAGGAGGCTCTAGGGGGCCTAAAGTCACCCTGTAGGGGTGACGAAGTCAGAGGGGATGCTTCAGTGAATGCGAGGAGAGTGCAGTCTCCTTGTTTGACTCAAAGAAAGCTCCTATAACCGGCGGAAGAAAAGACGCCCATTATGGCTGAACCAAAGCCGTGACAGCTGAAATGGAAGAAAAGAAAGAAAAGATCCTATAACAGTGTGCTCGGTTTGGGTAAGAACTTTCTAACTTTTGCTGTGGAATTTCCTCTGAAAAATACCCTTTGGAAAGTGGGACTCAACTGTGGTGAATAGTGGCGATTAAGACCTGGAGCTACTGTCAGATTAGAAAAGAAAGAAAAGAAATTGTAGACAGAAGTAACCTTAAAGATAAAGGATAGACTGGATTGGCTAGTTTTCAGCAACTTGTATTTTGTTTTACAATATTGGATTATACTTTTATTGTCACCTCGATTTGAACAACTTTGGAAAACTATTGAAAAATATTTTTGGAGACATTTTATTTGCAGCAAAAAATGGAGAAAAAGAGTAACAGTGACACCTACTGGCCAGGCAAAGACATCATAGAGCTGAAAAAAGTGAAAGAAGAAAGTTGTTTTGACTATAGATAAGCTGGAATACACTAAACAACACCTTCAAATTGATTATACTTGGTGTTTGGGGACAGACTGTGAAAACATTCAATTTTTAGAACCTTGAGGATTACAAATATGCTGGACAGTGTGAGAGTGTGAAACAGTTTGGATTTGTTTTGAAATTAAGTGGAGGTTGCTAATGGACTATTTAATGGAGTGATTTTGTGAACTGTTTTAATATTGGCTTTCTTGGTGTGATGAATTACTTGGACACTGGGATTCTGATAGATCACTGAATAATCTTTTTAATTCATTAAAATAAGGCAAAATGGTACAGCAGGGGAAAATAAGTGTATTATTAAAAGAAATATTATTGATGCCCCAAGGGACGCAGGAAATGATGACAAGGAACCACAGAAGATAAAGGAATTGATTCATGACATAGTCATGAGACCAGAAAACTATGAGCAAATGACACTGAATAATGAACACGAAATTCAGGAAGTAGAGGAGAAAATAGAAAGAACAGAGGAAAAGACAGGGGAGGAAAAATGACAAATGATACAAAAAGATAAAAAGGAAGAGATAGTAAAAGTGTCGAGTCCTACCGGAGCTCGCCATCGATGGGGTGTGTGGGAGACGAAGGAGTGGAGATAAGCAGCCGCAGCGAACACACAAACAGTTCCTGGATAGCAGCATTCAGGGTGATGATTGATGACGTTGCCGGGCCTCTCCGATTCTGCTGTCCTCGCTGCTCTGGTGCTCGCAGCTGTTACTGTTAAGGGAGTGGGGGGGTGCTTGATTGATAATCACCGGATGTATGTTTAAGGGGCTGAGTTTTTGTTAAATAGCGCTGTGGTGTGATTACACCCAGCGCTGACTTTGAACCAAAACACCGACTTGTACTTTACTTTTGACTGCAAGCTTATCATTGCCAAAGTAAACCCTGATTCTCTGTGCATTACTGGTGATTATTTCCTATCGCAGTTCTGAACGAACGACAAGCCGAGAAAAAGCTTATGAAATAGAGAAGGTAAATTACACATTAAGAGACCAAAAAACAGAAGACAGAAAGACATCTCTGAAGTGAGGAAAGGATCATTGAAAGGTGCACTGAAGGCTCAACAGAGTGAAGAAGCTGTAGAGACAGACGAAATACTTAGATCAAACACGAACGATATAAGGAGATACAAGATCCCAAGGGAGGAGTATGGAAGATGTGCCGAGATGTCAATAAGACTTGAGATATGAAAACGGGCAAGAGATGAGGGATAGGTGCAGCAATAGTTCTATTAAGAATTAGGTAGAAACTAATACAGAGGTAGAAACTAGAAATGGGGAAATATTACTCTTTTAACTTGGGAACTACTCTATCAATTGTTAGAAAATAGAAACAGAAGTTACAAATTTAGAATCAAGGAGGATATGTAAACAAAGACGAAATAAATGTGTAATTAAATAATGAATATTGAATAATTAAGATAAGTAAACATGATTAATAGACTTGAAGGATAATGAGGATAATTATAAACGTGATGTTTATATGATGTTTATAATGTTTGATATTATTGATTATAGACAAAACTGAACAGAGCGTAAATAATGGAAAATGTTTAATAAGGATAAGTGAAGACGACGGCGAATAGATTTTGAGAATAGTTATAATTATTGTATCAGATTTATTATTTGTATCTAAGAGATTGTACCCAGACGGTACACTGCTATTATGAATATGGAAATTTTATATATACAGTTGCAAGAAAAAGTATGTGAACCCCTTGGGATTAGTGGAGTTTTGCATAAATTGGTCATAAAATGTGCTCTGAACTTCACCTGAGTCACAACAATAAAAAAACAGTCTGCTTAAAATAATACTACACAAACATTAGATGTTGCCATGGTTTAATTGAACATAACATGTAAACATTCACAGTGCAGGGAGGAAAACATATGTGAGCCCCTAGCCTAATGACTTCTCGAAGATCTAATTGGAGCCAGGAGTGAGCCAACCTTGACTCCAATCAGTGTGATGATATTGGATGTGTTGCTGACAGCTATCCTGCCCTTTAAAAACACACACCTATTTTGGGTGTACTGGTTTCAAGAAGCACTGTCTGATGTGAACCATGCCTCGCAGAAAAGAGCTCTCAGAAGTGTACTGTAACAAAGAAACTTGTATAATAAAAAATAACAAAAAAATACAGGGAAAGAAAATACAGCTAAAACTAATGTATCACACCACTCCATAACATCCAACAACTTTTATTTTGATTATGCCCATACAGATATTTTTAGATAGTTTTCTCAGCTCACTTCCTCAGTCTTCTCCTTCGTCTTGCGCCTGATTTGTTTTCAACTCCATTGTCATTCATCCTCTCTAAATGACTAAGCTCACATTTTTAATATGATCCATATTTATTCAGCCACTCATCTCTAAACCTATATTTTGTTTCTTTTACTTCTTAAGAATCAATTCTTACCATACTGCACTTATTTTTATTTTTCTCTTTACACATCTCACTCTCATTCCCATATAACAAATTAAAGAGAAAGATGCTTTTGCATTTTACATTTCCTTCAATATACTTTAATTCCTCACAATAAAATACATGCAATTCACTGCTTTTCTACCAACTATACTTGCAGTCTTATAATAAAATTTCTCCGTCCATTTCCTCATTCTAAGAAAATACCTACCTGCATTTCTGTATAACTTCCAATTGTTTACTATATTTCCCAATGAAGCATAGACCCTTGATCTATGATAATTAATTTTCAAATCCATATCTTTATTTAATCAGTCTATTGATCATTAACTTAAAATCACATGTGTTCTCAGCCAATGACATGACAGTAATAGCACACATAGTAAGTATTCATCAAAATCTCACCTAGCATTCCTTGTACATTTATTCATAAACTGATTAAAGGGCTATCACTTATACTTGCCTCAGTCCTTTTTCAATTTGAACCATTAAATAAGGATTCCATTCATTCC